TCCTTGTTTGTCAATGTTAAACAAAGTTGAAATAATTTACAGTGACTACTTTTCTTTTAGAAGACATAATTGACACAAATGTCATTCTATCCTTTTTGGCATTCAATGAATAATGAAGATAGAATGACACTTATTGATCATGTCTTTTAAAAGAAAAGCAGCTTATGTTACATTGTGTTGTTTATGTTTTTTGCTGGAAAACAACTTTAATTTAATTGTGATGATAGGCGATGGAGCATGGGATAATGGATACGGTACAATGAAGCCTAAAAATTTGATATCCAGTATCTTAGGTGGTACACCTGGCAAGCCAAAATCTATAGTCATTTCGAATCCACATGATTTTAGGCAGGTAAGTTTGTTCTTTGTTGCATATTTTTCAATGCTTGATGCTATCTGCCGATCATTTATTTGCATTTATTGACTTACACTTGCTGTCAGGTATCTGCAATTATTGATGTCGACATACTGCCAGAAACCTGTCGACGTGTACGTCTATTAAAACATGGATCTGATAAACCTTTGGGATTTTATATCAAGGATGGTGAAAGCTATCGCGTACTGCCACCGTCTGCTGGTGGTGGAATTGAGAAGGTTCCAGGTGTATTCATTAGTAGATTGGTACCTGGTGGCTTAGCAGAAAGTACAGGGCTTCTAGCTGTGAATGATGAGGTTTTGGAAGTAAACGGTATAGAAGTTGCAGGAAAAACGCTTGATCAGGTAAAATAATTGTACAAAAATGATTTATTAAGTTGCATTAAATTACCAAATGTTGAGATATCTCGTTTATTACAATAATATAACTCAATGATTGTCATTTTTTAGTTGCTTGCAAAAAGAAAATACAATATATAACTCAATAATTGTCATTTTTTAATTGCTTGCAAAAAGAAAATGAAAACAAAAAACATATTTTGAAGGAACATGTTTTATTCTCTTATTCTCAGTTATTACATCAAAATTGCATTTTAAAATTAATATTACAAAGTTTTAATGATTTAATAAACAATTTAGACTCAATAAATAATAAATTACGAAGGAAAAGCCTGTAAATGAGCTGACACAGAAAGTATGTGTGCAAAAGGTTATAATTCAATACAATAATAGAAAAACGAAGTAATACAAATTAGAACATTCTCATAAAAATTGTTCACAATAGTAAAAGAAATTTACATACGTTTCAACTCTAAATTTGGGTCCTCTTCAGTAGGAAGTAATAATAAGAGAAAAAATATATAAGTATTGAGAATCGCTAACGTTCTTAAAAACTATAATTTTTGCGATATGTGTCATTTTAGTAAAACCATTAAGATGTGATATTGTTGTGAAAGTCATCTCTCATGGAACATGTCACCGATGTATTAAATTGTCAAATTTACTATACATTACAATATTTTTTGTTGTGCATTTGATTTATTGAAATTTTATTTAAGAAATAATAACAATTATGAAATTAAGTTAAACTTACATGAATTCGATAAGCGATACATGTCAAGAGATGTCGATTGTTCGATAATTAGCGTGCGAATGAAAACATTTATGACGAGAAGTCAAATGACAAAAACAAATAGAATAAAACAATAAAATAGAATTGGAGAAAGGGAAGGGACAAGTCAAATTATGTTAGAATATAAAGGATTGAGAAGTGTTGTTTAATTTTTTTATGTTTAATCCAATTCCGTTGTTTTATATGTAACATTTCAGAGATCAGTTTTTGTAAAATTTTTTCTTTGTCTAATAGGTAGTACGTCTCGAGAAAGTAAGTTTGAAATATAGATCGTAAATGAGTTGGTTATTTTCATCAATTAACGTGACATCAAAGAAATTTAAGGAAAGATTT